CACTTAAAAGTGACGTGAATTCACTTGCTAACGTTGAATCGCAACTCCTACCATCGTGTAGCAACGCAATCTAGTTCAACCTCATTCACATGGCGCCAAAACCGTGTCTGATCTGCCGAGGGACATGGGTCCGAGAGTTCTGGCTTCGAGTCCCGTCAGAGGGTCCAAACCGAAGTCTGGCAAAATAGAGATTGCAGTTTTCCACACAACAAACTGTCAACTTTTACGGCCTCCGTCTGCTGCTAACTGGCTTACCTCGTGAACGTTATCCCTTTTTGTCCACAACGACGGACAAGTAGGCAAAATCGGTCAAGTGGCCAGTTGCATAGACTGCGGCCATTTTGGTTCGCCCGAGGGAGGCGAACAGATTTTCTGCCAAATAAAGGAAGCCCTGAGACTATTAATAACTCCTGCATAAGTATTCTAGTCGCCCTAACCTCAAATCCGAGCAAGACGTTGATTCGACGGTAAAGTGAGTTGTTAACTGCATTCTAGTCCAATCTAGATGATAATACTTTTCAGGATATATGAAGAAAAGTTAGGTTTCGATGAATCTCTTGTTTCATAATTGTTTGGTAAGGAGACCCGAAGGTCAATTCCTCCAGAGCATTCCTCTTGTTCAGCTGTCGATTGGCTTTACTGGTACATTCATGCTGATGCTGTTTCCAAGGTAATCTCCTTCGATTCTGGTGAAAACGTGCTAAACTTTCGTCCGTCATGTGACAAACACCCTCAGAGCATCAAGGGCATCATTCTTACAACAAAATTCAAGTAAACGAGTCAAGAAAACTCATTGAGGACATGTTACCACTAAGCAGCATTGCCAAAAGTACTAGCGACTCAAAGGGCCAAAAGTGATTTTCTAAGCAAGCTATGCCTCTCTATTCTTTACTTTTCTCGATGAGTAAAACCTGTTTTGTCATTACTTATATTCGTAATGACAAAACATGTTTCACTTATCAACAAAAATAAGGGATAGATAGGCATAGCTTGCCTAGAAAGTCGCTTCTGACCCTTTGAATCACTGACAATGTTAGCAGTACTGCCTAACGGTATTATGTCCTCGGATCTTGTTGCTACATCCTCGCCAAGCACCCGATTGTCTGCTGAGTAAACTTCCAGTCGTCGCCAGGGCAGTGGCATTTAACAGTGCAAGCCTTGACATCAAAGCACAACTCGTCAAAGTGACAGACGAAGACAATTTTAGTGCTAAATGTACATCGAACGCTTGTGGATGCAGTTACATAAGACGCGGATTGTCTAGATTCTGAGATTACATCTCGAAAATTTTTGGGTCAGGGAGATTTCCGAAATTTATGGATCCAATTCTAAGCAAAGAGTCAGGCTGGAAAGATAAGATACCGACAATTCGAGTGACTATGCTCCGATAAATCCACTCACAGGAACGCAGCAATTAAGATGAACGGAAGAAGAGAAGCTACAGACTGGGGAACGTACCGAGTACCTGACCACTCAAAAGAGCATTGGTGACGAGGCTAAACTTCTCTTGCCACTGGGCCAGGTGTAGCTTGGTACTGAAGAGAGCGCTGTTCACTGACGATGCAAACGATGCCTATTTTGTGCCAACCCAATGTTTCTATACCAGTAGATAGGATAACAATGTCAGAGGAAAGGATACAGGTGTACGGTTTGTGAAGTCGCTCTGAGAAAAGGCCAATTTTACGCAGGCGAAGACATACCAATTCAATATGGCTTTAATTTGTTTTATGTCACATTTTAAACCTACAATATATATTTATCTATTTAATTGCTTAATATTTCACCGTAAGTGTTCATTATTAGGATTTACTTTACTTAATAAATATGTTTTTTAATAAATTTTTATCAAACACTATTGTTGTGAATATGGTTAAAATTAATTTCATGAACAATATAAGTTACATATTCTTCAGTTTCGCCAGTTTTGTACTTGGTCCCAATGCGTAGACTGCCAGTTTTCGAGCAAGTCCGTCCACTGATTGGCCGGAGCGTTGATCATGTCCGGCTAATGAACTCGTCTCCTCCTTGGCCAGCTGTCCAGGGCGAAGGGTCATGGCGGAAATTAGTGAATTGACATGTCGATCGACGTAATTCAGACCGAATGTCGTTGCACGCGTCAAATAGCGCACCATCAGCTGTGGCTGCTGGCGCAGATATTTGCTAAGAAAGGCTTGATCAACCAGTTGATTAAGATCTTTCCGCTGCCCATAAGTGAGAGGAGATAGATTGTTGCATCGAGCCTCAAGAAGCAACCTAAATAAGACAAACAGTGGTAGATATGATGATAATTGACAAGAAGACCGAATTTAACAACCATTTTGGCGAACTTTCATCCAAAATAGCGATTTCAAAGCACACAGAGAATTCCACTTTGAGAGTGTCACGACACAGTTGATCTCTCGATTTTCACTCGCCAGCATTGTTCTTGTTCATTAAAGAGTGAAGAGAAGCCTTGTTTCAACCGAGGAATTCCGCTATTCCCAGAATGTTTTAGCTTCTTTTAATCTATACCTCTTTGGCTTGAATTCCGTTATGGATAAGAATTGGGCTCATTCAAAAAGGTTAATGCAAATGGTCTTCGTTGAGTAGCTACTTGTCTGCATTCTACAGTTAGTTTATGAAAAAAAAACAGGTCTGCTCTTTAGTTCTACGTGATCATACCTACTATTATTTCCTTTGTTTTTTTCAGCTTATTCTTTAATATCTTGTAGTTTATACTCTATTGAAAAGTACCAGACATTCATAAATGTGGACCAAATTTTCAAA